GAGTTGTGCTCTTGTTGCCCAGGCTGGAGTGCAATGATGTGATCTCCACTCACTGCATCCTCCACCTCCCGGATTCAAGTGATTATCCTGCCTCAGCCTCCTGGGTAGCTGAGATTACAGGCATGCGCCACCACGCCCGGCTAATTTTGTATTTTTAGTAGACATGGGGTTTCTCCATGTTGGTCAGGCTGGTCTTGAACTCCCAACCTCAGGTGATCCACCCGCCTTGGTCTCCCAAAGTGCTGGGAGACCATGAGCCACCATGCTCGGCTCAAGTCAACCTTTTATCTCTTGCCTTGATCTCTGTCTTGTTTTTTATTTTTATTTTTTTTTGAGACGGAGTCTCGCTCTGTCGCCCAGGCTGGAGTGCAGTGGCACGATCTTGGCTCACTGGAAGCTCCGCCTCCCGGGTTCCCGCCATTCTCCTGCCTCAGTCTCCTGAGTAGCTGGGACTACAGGCGCCTGCCACCACGCCTGGTTAATTTTTTGTAGTTTTTAGTAGAGCCGGGGTTTCACCGTGTTAGCCAGGATGGTCCTGATCTCCTGACCTCGTGATCCACCCGCCTCAGCCTCCGAAAGTGCTGGGATTACAGGTGTGAGCCATCGTGCCCGGCCGATCTCTGTCTTATTGATTCTACCTCCTCAGTGATGCTCAGATGCATCCTCCCGCTTTATTGATTGAGGCCTCCATCATTGCTTATACAAATTATCCCAACAGAATTCATCTCCCGGGCCTTCCTCAATCCAGCTTCCATTTGGTTGCCAGCATCATCTTCCAAAAAAAACCACAGATCTGATCAGATCACTGCCCTGCTTGAAATCCTTCAAAGACTTGGGATGGCACTTGCCACACTGCACTGAAAATAGTTTACTGGTTTCTCTTCTTCAGGTTGTTGTAAGCAACTCAGGGGCAAAGACAATGCCCATTTCCCTAGTGCCTAGCACAATGCCTAACACATAGCAGGTGCTTAATAAATATTTCAGTGGCAAGATTCCAAGTCTTGTGTTAACAGAAGAGCAGGGCAGTGGTTAAGAGCAGAGACTTCAGATTGGCAGACCTGGGAAGTCTGAGTGCCAGCATTGCCAACCTCCAGCTATTTGGCCTGGGAAAGATTTCTTATCTTTTGTCAACCTGTTTCCTCAACTGTTAAATTACAATACCACCTACTTTACAGAGACTGAGATAATGCATCTTTTTATTTATTTTATTATTTTTTTTGAGACAGTCTTGCTCTGTCGCTCAGGCTGGAGTACAGTGGCGTGATCTCGGCTCACTGAGCCTCTGCCTCCCGGGTTCAAGTGATTCTCGTGTCTCAGCCTCTCAAGTAGCTGGGTTACAGCATGCATCACCACACCTGACTAATTTTTTTGTATTTTTAGTAGAGATGGGTTTCTCCATGTTGGCCAGGCTGGTCTTGAACTCCTGGTCTCAACCATCCACCTGTCTTGGCCTCTCAAAGTGCTGGGATTACATGTGTGAGCCACCGCACTGGACTGAGATATTGTATCTAAAGGGGTTGGCACAGTGGCTGGCACAGAGAAGCACTCAATAAATGGTTGCCATTATTATTATTATTGATGATAGCAACCATCAGTTAAATATCAAGGTTAGAAAAAAATCCCAGGATTTTGGCACTAGAACCATTAAGACTCCAAAAATCAAAGTGACTTACTCATGTCACAAATTTAGTAAGTGGCAAAATCAAGTTTGGAACCCATTATCAATGCAAAGTAACTTCTTTAAGCTGTCAGCTCTTTGGTGAAAGTGCTTTGTGACCTACATTACACCCAGACTGTGGATTCAGGATATTCATAGAGGTACCTGGCACATCGCATTCTTAGGTGTTTGTCTCTCTAAACTTGAACTTGGGCTAATGTGCCTTGGGGCAAGTTCATAATTACAGTACTGTTGATCTTTCCTATTGTTGTCCACTGTAATTATCTATTAAACTAGTAATCAAATGATTCCTCCTTGGAGCCTTCCCTAGATAACTTTTTCTTTTTTTTGAGACGGAGTCTTGCTTGGTTGCCCAGGGAAGAGCGCAGTGGCACGATCTCGGCTCACTGCAACCTTCGCCTCCTGAGTTCAGGCAATTCTCCTGCCTCAGCCTCCTGAGTAGCTGGGACTACAGGCGCCTGCCACCACACCTGGCTAATTTTTTGTTTTTCTAGTATAGACCGTGTTTCACTATGTTGGCCAGGCTGGTCTCAAACTTGAGACCTTGAGATCCACCCACCTTGGCCTCCCAAAGTACTGGGACTACAGGCGTGAGCCACTGTGCCTGGCCGATCACTGGTTCTTAAGGGTAGAGAGATGAGTAGTGCTAATGCCTAAAATCTCAAAATAATGCTCCCTTCCCCGTTTGAGAACTGCTTTGTTAAGTGAAGTTTTAGACTATCACAAGTATGTTCAGCAGGGTATGTTCTTACACTCTTGTCTTTTCCTAGTCTTACTTGTAGCAGAGGGTCTTTTAGTATTAGAAAACTTCATTATGCCATGAAAAGAATATTACTAGCAAAAGCTTACATGCTGTCATGCATTTGCTCCACGCTGAAAGACCTTAGATTTAATTACTTTTTTTTTGAGACGGAGTCCTCACTCTGTCGCCCAGGCTGCAGTGGAGTTCAGTGGCATGATCTTGGCTCACAGCAACCTCTGCCTCCCGGCTTCAAGCTATCCTCCTGCCTCAGCATCCCGAGTAGCTGGGAATACAGGCATGCGCCCCATGTGCCGGGGACTTTTTTGTAGTTTTGTATTTTTAGTAGAGATGGGGTTTCATGTTGTCCAGTCTGGTCTTAATCTCCTGATCTCAACTGATCTGCCTGTCTTGGTCTCTCAGCGTTGGGATTACGGGTGTGAGCCACTGCATCCAACAAGACCTTAGATTTAAGGCAAAACAGGACTTGCTGACTGGGGTTCAGGCAGCAATCTACAATAGGGTTTGTCCACTATCAACTGAAGTCAGGACAGAGACAGAACAGGAAGGGGATTGAGGTACAGGGGATTCCAGGCACCCTTGCTAGGTAAGCTGGGCTCTGACAAGGAAGTGTGATGAGGGTAGACAGTTAAGGAGTTGCCTGCAAGGTCTTCTGGTCTCCCGGGTTTCTCTTGGTGAGCAAAAGTAAGAATGAGTTCTTTTCTTTTTTTTTTTTGAGATGGAGTCTCGCTCTGTCGCCCAGGCTGGAGTGCAGTGGCACAATCTCGGCTCACTGCAAACTCTGCCTCTCAGGGTTGACACCATTCTCCTGCCTCAGCCTCCCGAGTAGCTGGGAGTACAGGTGCCCACCACCACGCCTGGCTAATTTTTTGTATTTTTTTAGTAGAGATGGGGTTTCACCATGTTAGCCAGGATGGTCTTGATCTCCTGACGTCATGATCTGCCTGCCTCGGCTTCCCAAAGTGCTGAGATTACAGGCATGAGCCACCGCGCCTGGCAGAATGAGCTCTTTTCAACATTGGACTGAGATCAGGTACTTTTGTTTTGAGGCTGTAGCAGAGTCATGTGCCTTTTTAGACATGGGGTGTGGGGGTAGGTGGATCATAAAAGCCAGTTGCTACTTCACCAAGACACATATAAAGCCAGTTTTTTTTTTTTTTTTTTTTTTTTTTGTAGAGATGGGTCTATGTTGCCCAGGCTGGTCTCAAACTCCTGGGCTCAATCCGTCCTCCTGCCTCAGCCTCCCCAAAGTGCTGGGATTACAGGTGTGAGCCACCGCACCCAGCCTGACAAAGCTAGTTTTGTTTCAGCTAAGAAGTACCCTAATGAGAATATCACAGTTATCTTCATTTACTGATTACCATGTAGTTAAGAATCGCTTCCATGTGTGTATTCCTGCCAGTTTCTGTTGTGGCCTCCTTGCACTATTCTCACTTCTTGCTCTGCAAGGGTACCTGGCACCCCTTTGTGAAGTCATGGACATTAAATATGTTGGGCCCCACAGGAACCAATTTGCTCAGAGCATAATGGCTATCTGTGTAACAGACCCCACAGTGCAGGCCACAACAAAACCATGTCTGGGTCTGGTCTGGTTGCAGGAAATTCCCTTCTATAGGCAGCTGTGACTGTGACTCTAGTCCCTGGAACCAGACCAGCCACTCAAGAATGCAAAAGTCCTGGTGCAGACATGGAGTCTGCATTCTCTCAAGAAAGTACAGATAATGATCCTGGACACAAGGTCAGACTGGCGACTCTTTTCCAATATGAGGTGTGTACCACCAAGAGCTGGCAGCAGGACCAGGCTGTCATCACCAAGCACTCTTTCTCCCCTGCTCTGCCCCTCCTTCATGCCCATTCTCTCTACCTCACTCTCCTGGTCACATACCCTGTGTGTGTGGGACCAGGAGTTGCATGGCTTGGGGTGTCATTCTAGGTGTGCTTGTTAATTTTTTTTTTTTTTTGAGACAGAGTCTCGCTCTGTCGCCCAGGCTGGAGTGCAGTGGCCAGATCTCAGCTCACTGCAAGCTCCGCCTCCCGGGTTCACGCCATTCCCTTGCCTCAGTCTCTGTAGCTGGGACTACAGGCGCCCGCCACCTCGCCCGGCTAGTTTTTTGTATTTTTTAGTAGAGACGGGGTTTCGCCGTGTTAGCCAGGATGGTCTCGATCTCCTGACCTCGTGATCCACCCGTTTCGGCCTCCCAAAGTGCTGGGATTACAGGCTTGAGCCACCGCGCCTGGCCCCTAATTTTTTAAAAAATTGAGATGGGGTCTATTTTGCCTAGACTGGATTTAAATTCCTGGGCTCAAGGAATCCTCATGCCTCAGCCTGCAGGGGAGCTGGGATTACAGGCGTGAGCTGCCATGCCCAGCTCTGATGTGTGGTAGGGATGAGGACAAGGCACTGTATGTGTCACATGTGTTACGCACAAAGGCTTGGTCAGTTCTTCTCAATGACTTCCAGGAAGGGCCCCAGTTAGTGTCATCCAGTGACCCTGGAAATCCCCTACAGCCCCACGATACTTTGTGATAGAGCTATTTAACATAAAGAAGAAACCATACATAATTGCTTTTCCATTATAAAAGTTTATCAAGGGAATAATTTGAGTTTTTAGAGGCTTGGTTTAGCAAGGTAAAAAAGACAACCAAATTATTAAAACACTTTATAAATTATTTTAAAACCTACCAATTGGGGCCTAAATGAAATAAACCCCCATTACCTTAGGAAAGAGACAGCTTTCCTAAATCACAAAAGTTGATTTCCAAGCTACACTCTTACTTTTAATGCCGTGGAACCCTAAGGAGAACTAAAGCTCACCAGCGATGGCTGCTCTGGAAGTCAAGGTGGGAAGAACAGGCAATATCCTGACACAGGCTAGATACAGACTCTGAGCCAAAAGCAGAGTCTGTGACATGGAAAGGGATCACACAATTTTTTTTTTGAGATGGAGTCTTGCTCTGTGGACCAGGCTGGAGTGCAGCGGCACAATCTCAGCTCACTGCAAGCTCCGCCTCCTGGGTTCACGCCATTTTCCTGCCCCAGCCTCCCGAGTAGCTGCAACTACAGGAGCCTGCCACCACGCCTGGCTAATTTTTTGTATTTTTAGTAGAGACAGGGTTTCACTGTGTTAGCGAGGATGGTCTCGATCTCCTGACCTCGTGATCTGCCCACCTCAACCTCCCAAAGTGCTGGGATTACAGGTGTGACCCACCGTGCCCAGCAGGGACCACACAATTTATTAGCCAACCAGGACACTTTTTTGTTTTCCTTCGAGAAAGAGTCTCACTCTTGTCACCCAGGCTGGAGTGCAGTGACGCGATCTCGGCTCGCTACAATCTCCACCTCCTGGGCTCAAGTAATTCTGCCTCAGCCTCCTGAGTAGCTAGGATTACAGGCGCCTGCCACCACGCCCCACTAATTTTTTGTATTTTTAGTAGAGAACGGGATTTTGCCATGTTGGCCAGGCTGGTCTTGAACTCCTGACCTCAGGTGATCCGCCTGCCTTGGCCTCCCTAAGTGTTGGGATTACAGGCGTGAGCCACCACACCTGGCCCCAACCAGAACACTTCTGAGTGTGGAAGAGGATGCTGTTAATTACTCAAATCAAAAGGCATAAAAGGAGACATATGTCCACCCAAGTGATAAGGCAGTTTGGGAAACTACATTTCCCAGTATGCCCTGCCCCTTGAAAGTTAAAAATCTTAACTGGCACAGAGCACGCTGGGACACCTGTGGTTAGCACCATTTAAGAAGTAAACGGTATAGGGCTGGGTTCTGACGTGAAGGCCTCCCCCTTCCATGGGACACTTAACCAGACATAGGACACAACACCTAAGGTGAAATTTCAGTGGGTATTAAGTCTGGGGTAGAGTTTGTCTCTCCCCACAAATCTAGCTTCCAAAGATGTGGAGCTGGTGGAGCTGTCCATTGGTCCGCTGCCCTGTTTCTCCTGGGCACTGCCTCTGCCTCCCCATATCACCAGCATCCCCACTGTCACTAGTCTTTAGGGGGATTCTGGGCTAGGTGCTCTTCCCACTCGACTTCAACCAACTTGTACAGCTCCATGGTGGCCTGGGCATCTTCCACAGAGGAATGTCCGCTCTTCCCAACCTGAGCAAGCAAGGAAGACAAGAGCATGAAGCAACAAGAAACCGTTTCTTCCTTTCCAGTTGACTCTGCACTCCTCTTTCCCCTGCCTCCGCTACACAGTTTCTTCTGCAGTCAGCAGGCTACAAAGACAGAACTCTGGTGGGGCCCTATTCCTTATGTAATTTCAGGGGTTCAAGTCCTAGGAAGTCTTTGCCACTATCTACTTCAGTCCTTTGTGTGGCAGTATGTATAAACCATATTAGGTTCTGTAGAGCCAGAACATACCAGGTCAAAGACAGGTCTTCTGAGTCTTCCACTTTCCCTAGTTCCTTAACTGCTCTATATGTGATCTATGTCCACACCTTCCCGCCAGATGGGCCACCTTTTGCTAAATGATAGCATGTAAAATATGAGCGGTCCTTGCATCCACTACATGGTCTCTTAGACCACCACTGCTACCTGCTTTCTTCCTTACTTAGGGTTTTATATCTACTTATGACTTTTTCCCTTTTCCAAAGCACACTTAGAAACATTCTATGAGGTAGACAACAGGAATTATTATCCTGTGTACAGATGGAGAGACACTACTGGGCCCTTCATCCAAAGCTCTTCCCATCATAGCAGCCCTTCTGGAGCTCTACAACTACAGGACTTCTGGGATCAGAGTCTGGCTAGGGGCATCAATGAGAGCCATGTCCAAGATGGGGGCGGGGGATGTGGGGAGATGCTACCTGGATATCCCGGTTTAGCAGCTTCTTGGTGAGATGCTTCAGAGACATGGTGGCATTCTCCGGGCAGTCAGCCTTCCGGTTGAGGGGGGGGATATGGGAGGTGTCACGGGTGAGGGACTTGGGATGAAAGTACTGAAGGGCTTTGAAGTCGTTGTGGATGGCATGTCCCACCACTATCTTCCCTGTGAGTATCTTCAAGATCTGGAACAAGTGTGGAAGAGAGTGGTGAGAAGCAAGACTGCGGTGGAACCCCTGCATTCTGAAAGCCCAACATGACCATCAAACCCTTCTGGATTCTTTCACCAACTGCCCACCTCTCCATCCTCGAAATGCTCACTCCCACAAGTTTTCTTTCTTCTGCAATCCACTTCCTCTTCCGCAGGTGATTTCCATGGTGTACCCTGTTTGGACTCATACTGCCAGTGGCTCTTTACCTTCTTATTGATCTCCACCCCATGACATTAATTTGCCTTCAGTCCTAAATGACACTCATGTTTAAGATGTCCATGTATTTAGTTCGGTTCTGGCTTGCTACATGAAGTCCTTTAGCTATTACCATTATGCTGGCCTTAGACACATGGCTGGGACCATGGCTCCAGGGAGGCTAACAAAAGCCCAAAATTACATGCAATTAGATGTGTATGGGTACTAGCGGAAGAGAATCTGTGGCTTTCATCAAATTCTCAGAGTCTACAAACCATAAAAAATTAAGAATCACGTATAAACTAAAGTTGCAGAAGGAACCTTATTCACACTAGTTTTGGAACCAAGTAAAATAACTTCTTAATATTTCAGGAAACTTTTTTTTTTGAGACAGAGTCTTGCTCTGTTGCCCACGCTGGAGTGTACTGGTGCGACCTTGGCTCACTACAACCTCCGCCTCCCAGGTAGCTGAGACTACTGGCATCCATCATCACGCCCGGCTAATTTTTGTATTTTTAGTAGAGATGGAGTTTCACCATATGGGCCAGGCTGGTCTCGAACTCCTGACCTCAGGTGATCGATCTGCCCGCCTGGGCCTCCCAAAGTGCTGGGATTACAGGTGTGAGCCACCACACTTGGTCTTCAGGAAACTACACGTCACCACACCTAGCCATTTTAGGCTCTTAAAGCAGGAGGACATGCTACCAATGAGGACAACCAAAGAACATGCCACAGGCTCTGAAGATCATTCTCAAAATGAGGTTCCAAACAGGTTTTCAACAAAAGTGACAGTCCTGCATAGCCTCCCAAAGGGACCCCCTTTGAAGGGGCTAGGCTCATCTGGACATACCTTAGTCTCATAACCCCAGCTTGGCACTGGGGAAGTGCTTTATGACGAAAACCAGACGTAGTCCCGTGAACTAGATATTTAGTTACTCCTGACTTCACCTACTTACTGTCCACCACCACCTTCATTTCTTATTAACCTCAACATATAGCCCTCATCAAAGCTGGGCAGATTTGCTGTCTCAGACCCGTCCCATCTTCCGCCTCTCCTATGCCTTTGCTTGGCTGTGCCCCTTTGTGCCCAGGATGTTCAACTCTTCTTTCTGTCTTTTCTAAAATAGTCAGTCACCTCACCTCTAATGAACTTTCTCCAACTGACCGCACATAAGGCATTATGGGAACAGTGTGTCCAGAGAAGGCAGAGTGTGGCCCTGAATCTGCAAAGACGTGGACCAAGGGCGCCCTCTGGTGGCCTCCTGAGACCAGCAGGCGCCCCTCTTGCTCTCCCTTCATTTCCTCCTTTCACCCCTCCTAGCTCACTCTCCTTTCCTGTTCATGCCTTGCGCTCCCAATAACCAGCACAGGGCTAGAAGTTAGATGACAACCCGAAGTGCTGGCCCTCTGCTGTTTATGCCCTTCACTGGTTACCTGTTCCAGTTGGACAAATATATCCCAGCTCCTCCTGTCAACTTTCTGCCCTCTCTTACCACCACCACTTTCCGCACTTGCCCCACGTTACTTTTTGCTTGGGAAGAGCTCTCCACCTTTCCTGTCTAAAGCTTAGGGTCCAATTCACAAGGTTTTTCCAAATCAAGCCCTTTCTCCTGACACTGATGTCTGTAGCTCTGTCCAGACATTACTTACTGTTATTTCTCTATGCAGATTCCTAGTTCCCCAGACCCAATTTGGAACCTAAAATTGTCTGTCTGTCTGTTTGAGACAGGGTCTCACTCTGTCACTCAGGCTGGAGTGCAGTGGCAGTGGTGTGATCTAAGCTCACTGCACCCTCGACCACCTGAGTAGCTGGCACTACAGGCATGCACCATCACACTTAGCTAACTTTTTTGTAGACGAGTCTCGTTTTGTTACCCAGACAGATCTTGAGTTCCTGGGCTTGAGCGACTCTCCTGCCTCAGCCTCTCAAAGTGCTGGGATTATAGGCAAGTGCCACCGCGCCCGGCTAAAATAGGTCTTGACCAATGAAGTTTGTGACACCAGCTAATTGTACCTCCCTGACTTTCATGGCTCCTTGCACCGACAGGGGGCCTTCTTCAATAACTGATAGATTCTCCTCCCTCCCTCCACAAACCTTTGGTGTCTTCCCATAGTGATATCCTTTGCTGAAAAATGATTTACACCTCTCTCCATCCACCTCCCTGCCACCATCAAGCCCCATGCTTCTTACCTGGCCTCGAGCAATCTTGAAGGGTGTGGCATTCACCATGTGCTGCTTTCGGATACCACTCCATCTGGTTCGGTAGTCCACAATGTGGCAGGGGGGAAGAATGTACTCATCATAAAGCACATCTCCGTTGTAGTTGACAATGCTACATCGAGCTAAGGAACTAACATGCCCCTTTGGTCCTGTGCCCACCATCTCACAGTCAATTGCCACCATCTTCTGTGGCAACTTCTGGGATATTCTGGAGCATTTATTCTCTGAATGAGCTTGGGTGGAGTTCTGTGGGGCATTCTTCTGAGGATGGTTCTTCTTAGAGGATTTCTTCTGGGAGCCCTTCTTCTGAGAGCGGGTTGGGTGGCTATTGATCTTTGGAAGGGCACTCTGGAATTCCCCCAGCAAATCTACTTTAGCAGCAACAGAATCAGCCTTTTTTGAAGGGGCAGGGGTCAGCCAAGACACTGCAGCTTTCTTGTCCAGGGTCTGTCCTGACCCATTGCTGCAGGCAGCTGTCTTCTTTTTTGGGAAGGAAGGGGTCTTCCAAGTGCCATCCACCATGGGAGTTTCCCCTTTCTTTGGAGGTTCAGAGTGCAACTTAGGCGCCTTGCTAGGGGGTTGGTTCTTTTTACTCAGAAAGCCTCTCCGTTCTAAGAGCCTCCGCTTCTTGACAAAATTTCGGTGCTTGGCATTTCCTTCTAATGCCTTTTTGGGAGGAGGTTCCCCAAAATCCAGATTGAGCAGTAAAGTAGACATAGGGACAATGGGAGGTGGAAGAGCAGTTGGGAAGAGTGGCTTATGGATGAAAAGAGGATGTTGGACTCATTCTCTGCTGAATCCTACTGTCCAACATGTGGAGGTCTGTAGTACACCCTGGGGAAGAAAGTGATCCTGGTGATTGAGCTCCTAGGCCTGGGAGAAAAATGAGGCAAGATCGATCTACGTAGGACTTATGGAAGGAAAGACATCAGAGCAATCTCTCAGACAGAGGGGAAATGAAAACATAACATGAAATGATGGAGGAAGCAATGGTGTTAGCCAGCAAGCCTGGATTCTAGTGAAGCCCAATTCACCAGCCGTTTGGTCTTAGTAAGGTCATTACCGCGCTCTAGGTTTGAATCTCATTTGTAAAATGAAGGGACTGGAGGGTCCCATAGAGCTCGAACCCCCTATGAGTCTAAGAGGCCAGAACACGTGAGCTCTATACTCCGCCTAGGAAGGGAACATCTAGGTACGCTCGAAAACAGTGAGAAGTATGGCGTAGATAACCTCTGGGCTACCCAGGCATCCGCAGCGTGGCCCACGAATACAGACACAAATCCAGGCATCCCTTTCCCTTGGCTCCAGGCCGGAATTGGGGACAATCTCCACATGCATCTCACCCAAGTCCTCCCAAGCAAGGACCTTGACACCACCTACCAGCGGGTGGGTGGGATCGAGGCTCGAGGCAGCCCACCTGGATAAGCATACTTTGGTCCCCGCGGTACAGATCGCCCTCTCACACTCACGAACCTACCTCCCAGATGGGTTTAGCTAAGGCCGGAAGCGTCCAGAGCCGGATGCGGAAATCGGTGCGCGCCGACGAAGCCCGGGAAGGCAGGCGCGCGGGTTAGAACGCGCCAGAGGTCGGCGCGCGCGCACCCGCACCGCCCCGACCTCAGGTAGCGAGGCCTGTGATTCGGAGTGTGTGAGGAGCGGCAGTGGCGGCGGAGGAGGGGGCGGTGTGGGTGGGGGCGGGGGCGGGGGCGGGATGCGCTCCCCGGCCCCTCTAGCCCCGTGGTGGTACAACGCGAAGGTGTGGGAAGGCCGCGATAAACCGGAACTACAGCCAGCCGGACACCTCCGGCTTCACTTCCGGCAGCGGAGAGGCGTGTACGGGAAGGGGCGGGAACTGGAACTTGGCCCGCCTCGTTGTGAGCTGAGCTCCGTGGCACGCTTTTGTGGCGTCATTGCACTGTTACCCCGCCCTACGTGTCTCCGACGCTGACACCTTCGCACTGTGAAACGTCGCAACCTGTGACCTCTTGGGGGCGCCTCAAATCTTCAGCTGCAGCATGGGATCCCGGAAAGGCAGCGTCGGAGACTGGACCCAAAACTCTTCCTGTTCTGCCTGCAGAGCTGAGCCCCGTCCGGGTCCTGGACCCGCGTGGTAGTGACCCTGGATCCCTGTTCACTGCGTTCTCGCTTCCCGCGCTGCCTTCTGGACCGCGGGATGCCGGGCATCTCCGCCCGAGGCCTCTCTCATGAGGGGAGGAGGCAGCTAGCTGTTAACCTTACCCGTGTCCTGGCGCTCTACCGTTCCATCCTGGATGCCTACATCATCGTGAGGCCACAGGGGCGTGGGTGGGGTGTCTCTGGTCGTGTGGTTGGCTAGGTGTCCACGTCAGGGAGAGAATCTGGAGAATTAGCCTCTGATCTCTTTCCTTCTATGAGTTTCAGTCTTTTGTCTGTACAAGGAGGGGTTAAAACTGGAGTGACCCCTCCTTTTTTTTCAGCTGGCATAAATAATATTTCTTTTTTTTTTTTTTTTTTTTTTTTTTTGAGACGGAGTCTCGTTCTGTCCCAGGCTAGAGTGCAGTGGCGTGATCTCGGCTCACTGTATAAATAATATTTCTAATACCTACCTAGATTATTTTTGTAATCTTCCCAGATCCAAGGTAATAAAATGCGTGGACATTGGAACCATGCTGCAACTATGTTAAACTCTTCTTGGAGCATGTGAGGTGTTCCAAGAACACACATGTTATTCATCCAAGCTTTGAATAAATTCGTGGTTTTGTGGTATAGTAGACAGGCCTGGCTCTGGAATCAAAAAGGCTTGGTCTGGAATCCTGCCTCCCCTATGATGTTAACCTTAGGCTTCCCTAACCCCCAACTTGTCCTAGCCCCGGTTTCCTCAGCTATACAGTGGATCCCAGTCTGAAGGATCATTGTGAAGAATAAATGAGAGAATGCGTAAATGGCACCACCATCCACTGAATTGTTTAGACCGCAAACCCAGAAGCCATCCTTGATTCAGCGCTGTCCTTCATTGATCCACAATCCAGTCCTTCAACAAGAGTCTTGGCTCTGTCTTCAGAATAGATCCCAAATTCATCCATTTGTCCCCACCTCCATTGCTGCCACCCTAAGCCAAGCCACCATCACCTCTGTTCTGAACTACTTCCTAACCGATCTCGCTGTGTGCTTACCTCTGCCCTGCCATAACCAATTCTTCACTGAGCAGCTAGATCGATAGCATTCAAATGTAAATCTGATCACAACAATCCCTTGCTTCCTACATACTTTTATGAAATCCTGATTCCTTACTATTACCTATAAAGCCCATGATCTGACTCCTACTGTCTCTTCAACTCTATCCCATTTTATTCTCTCACACATTTCACTGTGCTATACCTCTGCTGGCCTGATTTCTGCTCTGCCAATATGGCAGGCATCTGGACCTTTGCACTCACTGATCTTCCTCCACAGAAAGGCAATCACAGAATCGTTAAGAGCAAGGACTCTAGAGTAAAATTGGTTTCAAATCCCAGCTCAGGCTGGGTGTGATGGCTCATGCCTATAATCCTAGCACTCTGGGAGGCCGAGGCGGGTGGATTGCTTGAGCTCAGGAGTTCGAGACCAGCCTGGGCAACACGGTGAAACCCCGTCTCTACTAAAATCCAAGGAAAAAAAAAAAAAAAAAAAAAAAAAGCTGGGCTTGGCAGCACACACCTGTAGTCCCAGCTACTCAGGAGGCTGAGGCAGGAGAATTGCTAGAACCAGGGAGGTGGAGGTTGCAGTGAGCTGAGATTGCACCACTGCACTCCCGCCTGGGTGGCAGAGTGAGACTCCATCTCTAAAAAATAAATAGGCCGGGCGCGGTGGCTCAAGCCTGTAATCCCAGCACTTTGGGAGGCCGAGACGGGCGGATCACGAGGTCAGGAGATCGAGACCATCCTGGCTAACACGGTGAAACCCCGTCTCTACTAAAATACAAAAAAAATTAGCTGGGCGAGGTGGCGGGCGCCTGTACTCCCAGCTACTTGGGAGGCTGAGGCAGGAGAATGGTGTGAACCCAGGAGGCGGGGCTTGCAGTGATCTGAGATCCGGCCACTGCACTCCAGCCTGGGCAACAGAGCCAGACTCCGTCTCAAAAAATAAATAAATAAATAAATAAATAAATAATCCCAGCTCAGCTATTTGCTAGCTTTTGGACGTGGGCAAGTTACTTAAGTGCTGTGCCTGTTTCTACATCTGTAAAATGGGGGATACAAAATAATACCTACCTCAAAGTGTTGTTTAAAGAATCAAATGCGTTAATACATGTCAAATGTTTACAACGGTGTCTGGCAGAGAAGGTGTTAAATAAGCGTTTGCTATTACCTGTATTTTTCTTTACGTGCCTAGCACCTATTCATCCTTCAAGTCTCAGCTCAAATGTCAACTCGTCAGACAAGTCTTCCCTCATCATCCTATCTAAAGTAGTCCTTGCCCAAACTCTCCATTATATTACTATTTCATTAAGTGTTTTGTCTATGTGACATATGATGTTGTCTGAAGTTTTGTTTGTTTTGGTTTGGTTTTTTGAGGCGGAGTCTTGCTCTGTTGACCAGGCTGGAGTGCAGTGGCGTGATCTAGGCTCACTCCACCCTCTGCCTCCCAGGTTCCAGTGATTCTCCTGCCTCAGCCTACTGGGTAGCTGGGATTATAGGCGCACGCCAACATGCCGGCAAATTTTTGTGATTTTAGTAGAGATGAGGTTTCACCATATTGACCAGGCTGGTCTCGAACTCCTGATCTCAGGTGATCTGCCTGCCTTGGTCTCCCAAAGTGCTGGGATTACAGGCGTGAGCAACCATGCCCGGCCGAAGTTATTTTTTTAATGTAAACTCTGCAGGAGCCAGAATCTTGTCTCAGGTTCACTGTTGTATTCCCTGAGCCTACAATAGAGCTTGATGTATAACCAAAACATAGCCCCAGAATTTGTGGTGGACAAATGAATAAAAAGACACCAGTGTCTGGCACATGTAATGGCAGGTTACTAAGTGGTAATGTACTAATACTGTGTGTCAGTCACTCTGGTAAGTGTTAGGGATGCAGATGGGAAGATCCCATCCCATCCCTCCTCTTAAGAAATTCAGTTTAATAGAGAAAACAGACATAAATAAGTGCAGAAATTGCTAAAAGAAGTGTGTCCAGAATGCAATCTGGACTCCAAGGAAACAGAGTTAAGCCACCAGAGTGGGGGAGGCTGGAGCAGACTTCAGAGAAGAACTGACTTGGCTGAGTAGGAGGTACCTGCCGGTTACAGTGGCCCTATGTGGCAGCAGTGCTGGGAAGAGGCAGGCAGTGAGGTGTGGAGTTGAGAGTGGGGTGGGAAAGAATGGAAGTGGTAGTAGTTTGCTAATTGTTTCTCCCCTTCCTCTGTAGGAATTTTTCACAGACAACCTATGGGACACACTCCCTTGCTCATGGCAGGAAGCACTGGATGGACTGAACCCACCACAGCTGGCCACAATGCTGCTGGGGATGCCTGGGGAAGGGGAGGTCATCAGGTATGGGCTAGAAGGGCCCTGTGCTGGGGAACTCAAGGCTTTGAGCCCTGCAGTGAGCGTATTGCTCAGAGAGTCTCATAAGGTCTTCCTGGGCCTTGGGTTGTAAACTGGTGCACTCAGATGCGATGGGACTATTCACTGGAGGCCTGGGCTGGACTATCTCAGGTACAGGTCAGTGTGGCCACTCACCCTGCTGGCCCTGAAGTCCACAGCCTGTGCCCTGGCCTTTACCCGGACGCCTGGCTTTCAGACCCCCTCAGAGTTCCTGGAGAACCCCAGCCAGAGCTCCCGACTAACAGCTCCATTCCGGAAACATGTCAGGCCCAAGAAGCAGCATGAGATCCGGAGGCTGGGAGAGGTGAGGAGATGGCTGGAGCATGGGTGGTGTCTGGGAACCCAGGGACTCCTTAAGCGTGGCTTACAAAGATATGTGCCCTTTACTTCACATGCAAGGCCAGAGGGCCTAGACATTCCTTTACCTCAACAGATATAACTATAATCATATTTTGATGCTGGGGTTCTTTTTCATCCTTTTGTGGGGTTAGTTGGTAGCTAGGTCTGAATCACCGTCTCATTCCTGTTCTCAAATCTCCATAATCCGCTCATGGCTTAACGCAGGGTTCTTGTTCTGTGGGGGAGATTGAATCACTGACCTGTAAGGCAAGGAGAGTGGGCCTGAACCTGGATCAGGTCCACTCTCCTTGCTTCCACCCTCACCCCTATATCTTTCTTTCCAAATCTGTCATCACATCCGGGGCATCCTGTGTCCATCTTTCTCTGTCATCTTTGTCTCCACTCTCACTATGGGTGTTTGCCCCAGGAGTCAAGAACCAGTGGCCAGGAGACCTTTGTTCCCTCCTCTTTCAGTTGGTGAAGAAGCTGAGTGATTTCACAGGCTGCACCCAGGTTGTAGACGTGGGCTCAGGCCAGGTGAGCCAGAGTCTTGATGTACTGTTTTTTGGAGTCATGGGGAGATAGAACACCTGGAAGGCAGGTTATTGGGCCACAGGCCCAGCGAGGCAGGTGTCAAGAAGCGGTGGAACTAAGCAGGGTAGATTTTTTTTCTCTTTGCATAATTTGTTTTAAGCCAGTCAGATTTAGATGGGGGAGTTATATACCAACTTAAGCCACACTGATGTTAATAAGTTCTGTAGGGTAAAATTTAAGCCTTCTGTCGGGCCTGGGACCCAGGTGTCCAGCTTGCCCCTGGGGAGGGTGACAATGGATACGGCACTGAACAGGGCTGTTTCCATCTTCCTCATGACGCCAGGGCCATCTCTCCCGCTTCATGGCTCTTGGCCTGGGGTTGATGGTGAAGAGCATCGAAGGGGATCAGA